TTTGTGTCACTGATATAACAATATACATGTATAATATGAAATACATAATAAAAATAAAAACAACATTCAAACATTCCACAACATATTCAAAATGTACAATAAAGTGCTTCCAATGATTTTATGATGTACAATGAGAAGTACATTCATTATTTAAGCATCTACCTCTACCTCTGGCGTATCCTGTACCTCATTTACCCTACATCTCTTAGAAGAAAAACGCTGACAATTTGAAAACAAAAATTTAATCAGTTCTGTTCTTAACAGGTTGTTAAAAATTAAGTACACAGGTAGATTGATGACACTATTCAAATGAACAAAAAATCCAGCAAACTGATATACTGGCTTTGGTAGGAGTCTGTCACGATCAATGATTAAAGATATCAACATATATGGTGTCCAGCAGACACAAAACACTAGGAATAGCACTAGTAACTGAATGGCTAGTTTAATGTCAGTTCTGCTTGTCTTCTTATGGACTGGTTTTGTCAGTGCGTTTGATATTCCCACATTTTGGCTTGGTTTGGTGTTCTCTTTCTTAATCGCATATGCTTGAACTGCCTTTTCACTTGCACGGACAGTTTTATAAATGTTCCAATAGCTATACATGATAGCGAGTGTGGGAACAAGAAATGTCAAAATGACTAAAATGATAGTATAACTATCACTAGCAGTCCAGTCAAACACACAAAGATCTGATTTTTGTTGGAAAGTTAATGTGCCCCATCCTAGTTGAGTCGGTAATACCATAAGTATAGCGTACATCCACAATATAGCAACTATCCCAGCACATTTTTTCCAGGTGAATATGCTTCTTGAAATATTCGTGTGACAAATTGCAATATATCTGAAAATGAAAAATATGGAGATATGGAGGTTCTGGATATGGAAACCTCAAAATCAGGAGACGGGATATATCTTACCAACTTATCTCCCAAAAACTCTACTTGGCATACGATAAATGGGCATAGCCAAGGATAAAGCAGGCGAGGCAATTGCCTCACCAATAGTTTACAAAATGCCTCCCCAATCAAGTTTTGCCTCCTCAAATCTTAGATTCTGGCTACGTCCTTGCTGGTGTAATATAAGATTTATTATTATCCTGTGGTTACAAGGATATAGATAGAATATCACATGAAGATATATTTGATATGTGGATCAAGATATCATATTTAAGCAAAAAATTCCAAAACCAGCGAATATCACTTCTTAACAAATGATATTCAATGGTTTCTAAAGTGATATTTGATGGTTTCGAATTTTCAAAATTATAAATTATATTTTTTCAAAACCATAGGATATTCCTATAATATTTAATAATATTATGTTATTAATACATTAATTTGGGATTTGACCCTTTAATTAATTTTTACCTGTTCACTGCAACTGTAGAAATGTTACATATAGACCCTATACAGCCCACAGCTAACACCATCGCTGTTCCCTGACAGTATGCATCTATCTTAAATCTTACTCCTCCAGTAAGTTGACTGTCAATTGTTATAGGAATTAAACCCGTAACTAATAAATCGTGTATACTTAAATTTATTATAAAAATATTATGCACTTTCCGCATTGGTTTGATCATTAGATATGCAACGATGATTGTGAAATTTCCCAGTGTTCCTGCGATTAGCAATATAATTTCAAATCCTATGAATAAATGGTTAGGATTTGGTTCATAAAATCCAACATATCCCACAGAGGCATTGGTTTTATTTGCCATGTTATATTATGTCACTATTATCCATTTGTGCAGCCGTACAACCTTTTTAATGAGATTTGTATCTGCTGTGATGTTCCTCTAATATTCCAGTTCTTCTATGGACTAATATACATCAATGACACAGTCAAAAATTGTGTTTGGTTTTGTTATTCTAAATTAGAAATGGAATGTTTAAATATTTATTTTGATACCATTTTGTCTCTATTTTAATTCATCTGAACAATTGTGAAGAACAAAAAAGCAAATCGAAGCATGATGAAAAACACTCATTTGAATGTGCTTATAATTTGTGAATACGCCATAGACAGAACAGAATAGTGACGTCAAACATTCAAATCAGAAAATTTGCTCCACCTCATATATTATTAATGTTTATAAAATAAATTATATTTGATCACTGTTTAATAATATAATGCCTGAATACCAAATGCTACTTGCAGACTCAATTTAGTTTACCCAATATCGATATAACAAACCCCAATGGGAGCACTAGTCAGATAATTAACTAAACTAGTCAGGGGTTTCATTAGCAGCAAGCAACAAGCGATTTTCACCGGTTGTTTTCACAAAATCGCCTGTTGTTTTTAGGGACTTTTCAACTTTTCTATGTTAAATTTATTATTTCCATTAATTTTGCCTTGTAGAGAGGTTGTCTGTCCATCTATATGTCTATTATTATCCCACCGAACGAAGTTCGAGGGGGATATAGAGAAGCCGTCCGTTCGTCCGTCCATCCGTTTGTCTGTGTGTCTGGGCGATAACTCCAATACCGGTTGACGGATTTGGTTCAAATTTTATAGGCTTATGCCTTATGAGTGTAGGACCTCTGCTCAAGAAGGAATTTTCAATATGGCCACTCAATTCAAAATGGCCGCCATTTTTCGTAAAAAATGGAATCATTGATAACTCAAATACAAGTGGACAGATTTGGTTCAAAATTTATATGCTGATGCCTAGGGACAAAGGAGTTTCGCACAAAAAGAGATTTTCAAGATGGCCACTTAATTTCAAAATGGTGACCATTTTTCTTAAAAATATGTAATCTTTGATAACTCAAATACCAGTGAACAGATTTGGTTCAAATTTTATATGATGATGCTTAGGGACACAGTAGCTATGTTTGACAAAAAATTTCCAAGATGGCCGCTTAATTTCGAAATGGCGGCAATTTTTCGTAATAAACGTAATATTTGATAACTCAAATACCAGTGAACAGATTTGGTTTAAATTCTATATGATTATGCCTAGGGACACAGTCGCTCTGAATTTTAAGACGGCGGCCAATTTTCGTAAAAAACGTAATCTTTGATAACTCATATACCAGTAAATGGATTTGGTTCAAATTTTATATGATGATGCCTCGGGACACACTTGCTATGTTTGACAAAGAATTTTCAAGATGGCCGCTTTATTTCAAAATGACGGCAATTTTTCGTTAAAAAAACATAATCTTTGATAACTCAAATACCAGTGAACGGATTTGGTTCAAATTTTATATGATGATGGCTAGGGACACCTAGGAACACAGTTGCTTTGTTCAAAAATGAATTTTCAAGATGGCCATTGAATTTCAAAATGGTGACCATTTTTCGTAAAAAAAACATAAAATTTTGATAACTCTAATACCAGGGAACGGATTTGTTTTAAATTTTATATGATAATGCCTAGGGACATCTGTTCGAGGAAGAATTTTAAAAATGGCAGCTGAATTTCAAAATGGTTGCCATTTTTCTTTATTCAAATTTTATATGCTGATACCTAGGGACACTATAGCTCTGTTCGAGAAAGATTTTTAAAATGACTGCAGAATTTCAAATGGACACCATTTTTAGTAAAAAAGAATGTAATCTTTGATAACTCAAATTTTAATTTATGGATATGGTTTACATTTTATTTGTTGATGCTTAAGGACAAACAAGCTCTGCTCAAGAAGGAATTTTCAAGATGGCCACTAATAATCTAAATATGTTTTGTTCGGTGGGATTTGCTACTCCGTGGAGTTGCTGTTTTTCTAGTATATCAGTTGATGGATTCAATTAAAAATGTGAGGACATATTGTTATGGTCTCTAACTTTTTGTGAAGACACTCAGTCGTTGGCATCCGGCAGTTGGCATTCGCCATCTGTAACAAATGGCAGGTTGTGACATTGAACATATTAATGCCTTGTTGCAGTTACATTTTACATCAATCCTTCTTTGAGAGATGTTCAATTTCCATAGACTTCAGCAATTCAACAGCTGGCATGAAAATATGAAAGATTAAATTTAAAAAAATAGTGGACATTATGAATTCAGAGGCCATATTGAAAACATTTTCTCGAACAGAGATGCCATACATATAAGGTATTACCTCATTAAATTATATAAATGGACTTAATCTGAAAACAGATATTTGCATTTTCTCTTTTAGAGATAACTTCACATTGCAAATCTGGAGTCTATTTTTCAAAACTGACAAAAGTCCCCTGAATTATAAAAGAACTACGGATGCTATCAAGACCAATCAAGACTGATAAAATTCCTGTGAAGTACAGGGTGTCAAATAAGTCTGTTCTTCCCCCTTAACTTTTTTAATTAAGAGAGAACATAAGATTGTTATATACCATCTTAAAGGGAATTTAATTTGCTGATCCAACACCAAATTTCAGATTGATTGATTGAATTCCAAATTTTTTAGAGCATTTCTAGTGATGTTCATATTTCACTTTTTTATGGTCCGTATGTTTTCCCCCAGCAGCTGGGACAGCCTCAATTCTATGAGGATACGATATGTTCAAATCATTCTGAACGTCTAATTTTGGTTGTTACCTACTTTTTTGTGATGAAAGGTGCCCCTGTTTCAAATGCTTTCCTGAATGTAACACATTTTACTCTTTTACCATACTGAGAAATATCTAAATCAACCAATGTTGGCATTGTCACTGCAATATCAACTTTGCACCGTTCATTCACCATAACATAATGTATACTGGTAATTTTACTTGTTTTGACGTAATCAAAGGTCAACTACAACCTTTCAAGAAACATTGTAGCAATTTTATTAGGAGGAGTTCATTATTGATTTTTTGAGGGTGATCAGCATTTTCCATAAGCTTTAAAATGATATATGGGAAAGTAAGATAACTTTAAAAATTAAAAAGTTAAGGGGGGAGAACAGACTTATTTGACGCCCTGTACAATCTAGAAAAAACTACATGTATGAATTCTTCATCATTATCACTAGATTCCAGATTACTAAAGAATTTCCATTTGCTTAGATTATTTTCTCTTATTTCAGAAACAGAAGTTCAACACCCAGAAAGTCTAGCAGAAGTAAATCACGGAGGAGTTTATATGATGAATCAGTAAATGATCAAGAGGTAAATATTTGGTGTGAATATATTGTAAATCTTGTACGTTGTGAATATATTTAAAGAGCTCAATTAGCATAATGAGATACATGTACGAGGGGTGATCAATATTAAAATATATTACATGTTTTGTTTTCAAATCTTCAGAGTTGATAGTTGATTGAATGATGTATCACTGGAAAGAAAATCAAAGGTATTGGTCTATAAAAAGCATCCTTGTAAAAAAGTGTCCATTACTTATTGATCACCCCTCGTATATGACATAGTACATGTACAGTTATGACATGTAATACATGAGTCTGACATCAAGTCTCTGGACCCCCTCACCCAGTACATCTCCAGTGAAAGGTTGAGTTGACAGATTGTGGTGTATCGAGGGGAACTTAAGGAATTGAAGCAAGGCTATACTTTATCAAGAACATCTCATGTAAATCTTTTGCTTCAGTTTTGCAAGTTGTACGCATACTGTGTGTATTTCCCAATACATGCAGTCATTTTTGGCTCACACAGTGAGCCTATGGGATTGACCAGGCATCCGTCCGTCTGTTGGTCCATTCGTCCGTCCGTCCGTTGGTCCGTCCGTCAACATTGGCCGCACAAATTAAAACTGCTATTCGGATTGAGTCATATCCACATTCATTTTATGCATATCCATAATGCCTATTTGACCTATCATCGCCATTTCCCAAGTTCGTCCGGTTTCCGAGAAATTGCGGATTTTGACGTCAAAAAGTCAAATTTTCTGTAAATACTAGACACTTTGTTGAAGTAGAACTTTCAAATAACTTTTAGTAGTTGGTGTATATGCAACTTATGTCCTCTGAAGATTTCAAAGCTCTTGGAATTACGGTTTTTGGTGTTTACACTATAAAATTTGAAAAAAAGTAGGACTTCATCATTTTCAGGAAACTTTCTCATGTATAAAGTCAATGGCAGGTTTTATGTTTATGTTTATGTTTATGTTTATTTATTATTTGAAATACACACAAAATACAATATATGAACTGGGTGACACTTTAAAAAGTGTATATTCCCAATATTAGACAAAATAATACATGTGTGTTGTCATACCTATTAAATGCAGTTGGGGACCTGCCTATGTATTCATCTATTTGAACGAAAGTATTGGTTTGTCACATCATAATAGACCAAATGAGGTAAAGTTTTGGCATAATGTCAAAAGTGTTCTTGAATACAATTATACCAATGAGTGCAAATATACTTACAATGTAGTTTGAACATTATTTGGAACAGAGGCAAAATCAGGGGGTACAGCAGAGCTTATAGGAAATATAAGTCAGTTTAGTAAAAAACAAACAACAACAAAAAAAACCACAAAAACAGCATAACTGTATGTGATTGAAATGTTACCATATGGGTCAGATATACTGAGCAATCATATTGAGAGCAGTTTTGTTCTTCGAAGAAACCAAAAGAGCATACACGAGAGAAAGCATGGTGAGGGCAATGGGTGATAAAGAGACAGCAAAATATCAATTGAGTTAGTATGTTTCCAAAAATAGTTTTTTTAGTTCTCTTTTAAATGAATAGAGGCTTTTTATTTGTTTAAGTCTTTCTGGTAATTTGTTCCAAAGCTGGGGTACTGAAATGGATATAGATGATTTACCATAATTTGTGCGAAATTTAGGTTGATCATAGGTCATTCTATTTCTGGTGTTATAAGGATTTCTTTCATGAACTGTTGTAAAGAGACGAGGGTATATACTCCTATAGTTATCTAAGTCATTTTTCCATTTGAACATAAATATACATTTTGCTTGCTTATTAATGTCAAAAATAGTAATAAGTTTTAACATTTCAAAAAGTGGAGAAGAATGTGCTCTGTAGTCACTATTTGTTGCAAGACGTACAAACCTTTTCTGGGACAAGTGAAGTGGATTTATTGATGTAGGATTTGCATCCCCCCAAACAAGATTACCATATATTAGATATGAATAGATCAAGGAGTAGTAAATACTTGTAAACCCTTGAATGTTTAAGATATGCTTAATCTTGTACAAAATACCTATGGTCCTTGAAATTTTCATATTAACTGAAGATATGTGATCTTTCCATGTCAAATGTTGGTCAATTATAATGCCTAAAAAACTGATCGTTGAAACTTGTTCAAGTTTATTGTCATTGAGATATATTTTGAAGTTACTTGGATCATAGTGCTTCTGTCTTGACGTAAAAATGATGTATTTGGTTTTAGAAATGTTTATAGAAAGTCTATTAGTCACCAGCCATTCTTCAATATGTTTTAGCTCGGTGTTCAATATATCATTGAGTTCATTTAGATTTTTGCCATTTATCAATATATTAGTGTCATCTGCAAAAAGAACAAAAAATAACCTTGGAGATGATAAGTATATGTCATTAATATAAACAATGAAGAAAAGGGGACCTAGTATGGAGCCTTGAGGGATTCCACAGTTAATGGTATTTGGCTCAGAAATAACATCTTTGTATGAAGTTCTTTGAATTCTATTTTTGAAATAACTTTTTACCAAATCAAGTGATACGCCACGTATACCATAAAAATATAATTTTTGAAAAAGAATTTCATGGTCGATAGTGTCAAATGCCTTGGAAAAATCTAAAAATAGGCCAATTGAGTATTCTCCGAGATCAATAGATTTTCTTATTTTTTCAACAAAATTTAGAACAGCCATAAAAGTTGACTTCTTTTCTCTAAATCCAAATTGATTAGAATATAAAATTTCCATTTTGTCAATAAAAGTAGAAAATCTCCTATACATTAATTTTTCAAGTAGTTTAGAGAATACAGGAAGGACAGAAATGGGGCGATAATTTGTAAATAATTTGTCATTATCTTTTTTATAAATTGGAATGACTTTGGCGGCTTTTAAATGATCTGGAAATATACCATTGCTAAACGATAGATTAAATATATGCAAAAGGGGCTGTAAGAGTGTGTTACCACACTCCTTTATGACAAATGGCTTAAAGTCATCAAGACCAGCAGCTGAATTTTTCAGATTATTTATTTCAGTTTGGATTTCATCATGAGATATTGGATTAAGAAATAGAGTAGATTCTGTTAGACCTAAGTTCTGCATGAAATCAAGTGGGTTCTTTTTTGATTTGGGGATTTTTGAAGCAAGATTCTCACCTACAGTTGAAAAAAAGTTGTTAAGTTGATTTGCAATTTGCTGTTTGTCTGTAATTTCAATGTTATTGTGAAGAAAAGATTCAGAAATATTGGTTGATTTATTTTTCCTTTGAAGTAATTCATTTAAAATTTGCCAGTTAGCTTTAATATTACCTTGGGTTTTTGAAATCTATTGTTGTAGTACATTTTCTGAGAGTTTTTAATTATTCTCTTTAAGGTTTTTGCATAAGTTTTGTAATTGATTTTATTTGGTTGGGAAGGATTTCTAAGGACCTTTTTATATAATTTGCTTTTGTTCCTGATGGAAGTAAGAATGGCAGAAGTGACCCACGGTTTATTATTATTATTATAGATCCTTTTTATAGTAGTTTTAAGAGGAAAGCATCTATCATAGTGTTTAGTTAAAATATCTTCAAATATATTATATGACGCATTAGAATCATTATTACTTATAACCTCATTCCAATTTTCACTTGAAAGTAATTCTTTAAATAGTTGAATATTTGGGTCAGTATATTTTCGCTGTTTGACTTTGATGTTTTTTGTGATTGACAAGATTCTTATTTCATTAATTAAAGCAAGTGGGCACTTCATACACTTGGGATATTGAAAAGAAACTAGCACCCTCTTGAAAAGCATAAAAACTTCCATTTGTTTTAATTTTGTTCTTATGCATTTTCATTTTGCTCTTGTGTGTTTTCAATATACCTTTGTGCGTTTCAGTTTGATGAAATGGATGACTCACTGGATATGGCCAACAGGACAGCTAGACAGCTCAAGCACATATCTGACAAAATGCGCTCTTCCATGAAACACGAGCTCATTCAATCACATAGAGATAGTTTGCTTATAATGTAAACTTATTGAACATTATGTACCATAGCATATGGGCACTCTCATATAAACATATGCCATGGACACTGCCCATATAAGACAAATGGATAATGCCTAATAAAGCAAATGGACATAAGAACTAAGAAGTAGATTCTTTGATTTATGACCTCATTCTTTTATGATAAGTATATATTTTACTTTGGCTTATATATTTTACTTTGGCTGCTATATTATAAGGACAGTGCCCTATAAAGCAAATGGACATTTCCCATTTTAGCATTCAGAGATTGCCCATTTTACAATAGTCTATAGATATTGCCAATTTTTGGCATATTGAAACCTTTTTGCAAAACAGTGTAAGCATATGGGAGAATCAGTGTTTCATGATATTGATAATTTGTCTCTATTAGGCTAATGGTAGTCAGAGACAATTCATTTGAATTACCAATTACCATGGATACAATATAAGTAATCAGTTGTACAGTTTTTACCTATATTCATAACATGAAATTCAAGTGATTATTTTTGATATTGTATTTTATTTGATTATAGTACAGTATTTATTATTATGTATTTGACTTTTAGTTATCTTTTTTTCAAACTGAATATGAATTAGAAGGATTATCTCAAAATGTCCCATTTTTTACGATGCAACCACATTATATGAATGGAAATGGTCCCTTATAGTTGCAGAAGTCACTATGTGACAGAATAAAAGTGAAAGATGATATTTCAGTATTCACACAACTGTAGTGTAAACTTCACGATATGGAGTCTATATTTTCATTTGCTGTTCAGTGGAATTCTCTCTTTATGTCACCACTAATGCCTGTGTCACATTTGGTGCAATTCATCGGCCGGAGCCCAGCCGATGGAAAATTGTTTTCAGATTTGAACAAATACTCAATTGTCCAGGCGCTGGCCGATGAATCAGAGCAAATGTGATCTAGGCATTAGTGTTGAAATATTGTTATGGCTTTTACAACAATAAATGAAGAAGTAATGTTCAGTTCAGACTGTACATTTTTACTGTGAACACATGTTATAACTCAGTTAATAGATTTACTTGAAATTCAAACTATGAATGCTATTGAATGACCAATAATATAAGATATAGGATACTTGAGATTCAAAATATGAGTGCCAACAATTGACAAATAACTCAAAAACTCACAGTCAGATTGATTTGGAAGTCGGAAAAAAGATGGTGATATTTTCTCATGAAAATGCCTTTAGTCTTGTAATAATATACTAATGCAAATTTTACAATAAAATGAAATAAAATATACATGTATTTATGTACATCTTTATTGATTCTTTGACATTATATAAATCATGTGTCAAAGTGAGTTTTCCAGATTTGTTGAGTTTTTTTTAGCAGAAATTGCTTCCTACCAACGTATCGTTCATATATTATATCACTGGTCGGTATATACAAGGTATAACCATCACTTCAACTCGTATATTCAATGTTTTGGTTATTACAGCATTGTATTATCGAATATGATTGCTTTCAGACAAAACCTTTTATTCATCATTCAGTCACATGTTAGAATACTATGGGGAGGAAATAGAATTGCTATGTAAAATAGCATATAGCCTATTGTAAAAGATCCTTAGTTTACCTGAAAAAGAGGCTGATCCAGCTGTGGAACAGTCAGTGTACAACAATGGAGTATGGTGGATGTACTGCATTGGAACAGCAGAAAGGACAACAGGAATTAGTTACATTGCCGTTGTCATTCTCGATAGCGTTGTCAAATGTTATTGGCGTCTTTCGATTTTATAGCACATTACCCACATTTTGCCGTTGTCATTTATACAGTATTTGTTGTCCCGTGTCATATTTTGACCACCATTTGTGACAACGATAACTGACTTTACCGTTGTCAGGGTGTTCCGGTGTACTGATGGTTCACACAAAACTACTGTTCTTTCCTAGCATCTCACATAAGATACATTAATAATGAAGCCCCAGGAATTAAGCTCTCCTTCAGATAACCGAACTAAAACTATTAGCACAACTCAATTTGCTGACGAATTGGTATTGCAATTTAGTCTGCTACTAACAATACACGTTTGGCATGTTTGGTGCCTGATGCATTATGCATCAGCTCATACTAAAACAATTACCCCTGGTGCCATATATTCGATCGATTTCATCCTTGCTTAGAATATCAAAAAAATCAGTCAATAATGTTCAAATGGGGAATAGAAAATGGAATATTAAAGATGACAAAATTAGTCTATGTCAGTTTTGTTTATTAGGTTTTTGGCAGTTGGCGTTTGTAACAAATGGCAGGTGATAATATTTTGCATGCTAATGCCTGGTTCTATTCTCTGTGGTACATTAGTTTTAGGGTAATGTGCTCCCAGTGGCAGCAGATATTTATCATTTTCCACAATGCTGGGACTCATTTGACTTGTTATGGCACACTCTAACCATGAATAATTTAGTTTAATGAGTCACATATTGTTTTATTTTGCTTTTGGAATGTACCTATCAAAATTAATCTTAACATCATGTATTATTACTCATTTCTTAATACAGACGTCATTTACACCAGTAACACAACATAATACCACAAGTAGTTATTGGATAAAGTGCGAGCTAGCAGCTGCATTTATTAATTATTTTGGAAAATACATGAAGCTACATGTATATAGTCATTGGTCCACACCTGGCTATAGCACCCTATGCAGACAGAGCCTGTGGGAAATATTGGGTGCGGCGCAAATGAGCGGAGGGTGCGGAGCTAACGGTCATTTTTGAATTTAAAATTGGGATATTTCTGAAACTAAGCCGTTTTGGGACTTCAAATATACCAAGATATGTGTATTTGACACCAAATATCAATAAAATTGTGAAAATAGTAGTGCAATTCATTTTATAGCGACGCAGTATGCCTTAAACATTTCCCAGACCTATATATTTTGAGACTATCCTTTTAATACTGCGTCCCCAGCATTCATAAAAAATGGTGTTCAAGATACACTACCCATGCAAATTATTTTTGCATCTTGGAAGCCAGGCAGTATCTGTGTGATTTTATAAAAATTCGGAAATGTTCTTCAGATATGAGCCCCTCTAAATATTGGGTGCGGAGCTACGTTTATGGAGCTGCTCCGCACCCAATATTTAGAGGGGGCTCATATCTGAAAAAATTTCCGAATTTTTATAAAATCACACAGATACTGCCTGGCTTCCAAGATGCAAAAATAATTTGTAAAGATAGTGCACCTTGAACACCATTTTTTATGAATGCTGGGGACTCAGTATTAAAAGGATAATTTCAAAATATATAGGTCTGGGAAAGGTTTAAGGCACACTGCGTCGCTATAGAATGAATTGCGCTACTATTTTCACAATTGTATTGATATTTGGTGTCAAATACACATATCTTGGTATATTTGAAGTCCCAAAACGGCTTGGTTTCAGAAATATCCCAAATTTAAATTCAAAAATAACCGTTAGCTCCGCACCCTCCGCTCATTTGCTCCGCACCCAATATTTCCCACAGGCTCTGTCTGCATAGGGTGTATAGGGACGTTACGTCTTTACACCAAAACGTTCTGGTTGCTGAAGCGAAATACTCGATTATTGGAGTTGCTAAATATATTTGCTCGTAACTGACTGGGTAAGATATTTTGATACAAACCGACCTCTTTCTTGGTGAAAATGATGAAAATAAATATTTCTACTGACGGAAGTTCATATTTTGTTATAAAGATGCAACGTCTTAATAACCAGGTGGGGACCAGTGATCGTAAACATGAGAAAATGATGGAGCTTATGTACTTCTGTGATGATCAACGGTAGCTTACAACGGCCACTACTGTTATAAACAGTCACAATGCTGAATTGCAAAAATGCAAAAAACAATGCTCAAAAACCAAGCATTTAAACTCAACTCTGAGCTTTATATATTAAAGCCATCATAGCTAAAAGATAGAAGTATAAACATTAATGTTACAAAATCTGTACTACGACACTCTTTCTCAAAAAGAGTTAAAGTAGATATTATCTATGTTGTAATCTATGTGTCTCAAGAAATCGTACATACTTTATTTCTTCAAAATGTAACCCTACTATCACACCAAACTAGTTGTCACTACGTTCTCGGAAACGGGCTTCAACTGTGTACGAACGGACTGGACGTACTTAGAACCGTTTGGGGTCTATTTACAAACTTCATCGAACGTACTCGAACGGGTAGGTCCTCTAGAACTTAGAACATGCTCAAAATGTTCTCGTGGTCGATACGTTCTACAATTAGAACGAGTGACAACGTACTAACGACGAGCTGGACGTACTACGAACGGAACCGTCGTACTTCAATCCTACTAGAGACGTTTTAACAACGAGTTGAACTGTCTGAGGACGTATTGAGAACGAGGTAGAACTAATCGCAAACGAGTTTAAACTGATTAAGAACGTATTTAAGACTGCTTATGAACGAGTTAGCAAAAATATAGCTAATATATAGCTAACCAACTGCGAACGAGATGGACGTATTGAAGACTGTTTATTCCCGACCACAGCCAGATTGAGCACGTTTTACGACGTTTTCGTAGGACTGGCAACAACGGCTAAGAACTAGTTTGGTGTGATAGGGGGGTAATATGACTAACATATGAGTTCCACTCCTAGAGGTGTTCAGGTTCTACAGGTGTTCGGGTTGCATGTTCCATTGTACAATGAAAAGTATATTCATTGTCATTCTGAAACTCATAACATCTTTCTGTTTCACCCGAAACATCTCAGCAGAATAGTGAAGAGTACCATTTGAATTGAATGATGGTTGCTTTCGTTCCGTTCGCACATAGTTTAAAACCAGTTTTAAGGAACGCAGAACTAGTTTAGTGTGATACCTATATTTTTGCCAAGTCATTCATAAGCAACCTTTGATACGTCCTTAATCAGTTTAAACCCGTTTGCAATTAGTTCTACCTCGTTCTCAATACGTCCTCAGAGAGTTCAACTCGTTCTAAAAACGTCCCTAGTAGGATGAAGTACGACAGTTCCGTTCGTAGTACGTCCAGCTCGTCTTAAGTTCTGATTGCAAAATGTGGTGACTACCAGAATTTTTTTAGAATGCTCTAAGTTCTGGCCGACCTACTACTCGTTTGAGTACGTTCAATGAAGTTTATAAATATACCCCAGACGGATCTAAGTACGTTCAATCCGTTCGTACACAGTTTAGGCCCGTCTTCGACAAAACTTAGTGAGAAACTAGTTTGGTGTGATAGTAGGTTTATAAAGCCTGAGTCACATTTACTCTACGGCGACCGCCGCTTTAAAAATCGATATAGAAAATCTACATCGTACTGCTTATCCCTATACGTGTATCTTATGCTGCATATTGGGAAGCTACGGTAACCATCAAATGTATATATAAAAATTGCATCCTTAATTTTAGGTTACGGTAATAGCATGGGCTTTTAAGAGAAGGGTAGGCAACTTCCCATATTTCATGAATGTACACATTCCAAGAAAAATCTTATTTTGTATACTTTTCATGTATGATCTAAAGAAATAACTCAAAAATAAAAGCATGATTATCTACATACATGTTGATCCTTCAATACATGGGATTCATCATAATTATGGCAATAATGAAAGTGAACATTCTCCCACAAATTATGTTTTTATTAGAATGTGTACGTTCTTGAATAATTACCCATAATGTAATACTTGCAGAGAACATTTTGATACCTCTTTTTCTTTCTTTTTTTATTGGTCGTTTTGTTTACTTTTACATGAGATTATATTTTAGCTTTAATAATCATATTGAAAATTGATCATATTGATCGTTATTCAAAATAATAGTAGACTATATAGAGATTATCCTATATGAGGTTCAGGATATTGGAATTATCCCGAGGCAAATATAATATATCTGCCCGCTCGGAGCGGGACGTAAAGCTATATCTGCCCGCTGATGAAAATAAAAGTTTTTACAAACCGGTTTTATGTACCTGTAACACGTCCAAGTATGGGATAAATACATTTATCTAATACTTTTTGAAATATTATCATAATAAGGGAAGCATGGCGCTGCTCATTTGAAGTTCTCAAGTTTATAACAAAGAGTAGCATATGCCTTTTCTTGAAAGCCCGTGGGTAATATCGAAGTTATACCCTGAATTAGAAACTGATAGATATTGCAACCAAGGATTGGAAACCTGTTGTTGAACAAAAAGAACGTTATTCGAAACCTAATTTTGAGTCTGCAAGTTAACATCCAAAAACTAAGTCTCAAAGCAGTCATAGTACTCCCTTAAGTTAATTGTAATTATATTAGTTGCATCTCCGCGTGTATACGAGGGCTTATCCTAAAGTTCTCATAATATCTCTCTCATTTCTTTATTTTTCAACATAATCTAATAGATTTTTACAGAGTATATGCAGCATAGAATATCTTATTTACTAGTATCCCCAAAAATTATTTAGCATAAAAAATTAGATAAGTTGTGGTTGCCATAGTAACTGGAAACAAGGCACCCGAGCAAATGAAAAATTGAGAGAATGATCCTAATTAACGAATAACGATCCTAATTAACCATACACACATGACAAAGAGAGATATTATGAGAACTTTATGATCACCCCTTGTACACATAAGATGATTATATGTATTCCATAAAGACAAGTTAAGAGGCTATTGGGATACAAGAATTGATTCTATACGATGGTTGCATCCGAAATTAGATTACAAGTACCAAAGGTTCCATCTACAAGTGAATACATTCAAAGGGTTTGTGAGTGTACAGTTCTGTATGTTGCATCCGAAATCTGGAATATAATATACGGGGTGGTCCAAAAAGGGACACCCATCAGGAATCCCCCTTATCACTACCTCCCTCCCCCCCCCCCCCCGATTACCTGAAGCCAACGTCTGCGACTACCACGTTTTTGGAGAACTAACATAATTGGTGTACCGAGTCTCTTCTATTCAGTCCCTCAAGGACAGAATTGTTGAGAAGTGGAATTCATTGTCTCAACAGCATATCAATGATGCCATCGACCAGTTTAGGCCAAAATTGAGGACTATAATTGATCAAAATGGTGGACATATTGAACATCTGTTTATATGTAAATAAAGTCGACAAGAAAAATTAGTTTTTGCAAGTTTTGGAAAGCCCGTTTTGAAATAATGACATTATTTGTATTATAGACGCTGGTTGACACTTGACAGACATTACAATTTTGAACCTATGATATACCAAATTAAAATGATTAAATTCCCTATCCACCGGTATATAATATGACACGTGCACGTTTTCACCAATAAATTCAATACTTATTTTTGAAATATGATTGTCCCATTTTTGGACCACCCTGTATTTGTGTTGCATTCATATTACAGTAATGATGTGTACTCAATATATTTTTGATATAAAGGTTGCATGTCATAGGATCTACCTTTCAATGCTGACACTTTGCACACAAACATGCAATCAATTCTTTTCTCAGTGATTGATTAAAAATCAAATACACAGGTAGGTTGATTGTACTGTTCAACTGAATCAAAAATCCAGCAAACTGATACACTGATTTCGGCAGAAGTCCATTTCGGTCAATAAATAAAGATATCACTAAAAATGGGCCCCAGCAAACAAAAAATATTACAAATAACACTAGTAACTGAATTGCTAGTCTAACATCTCTTCTATTTGTTTTCTTAGGGACTGATTTCACCAGTGCATTTGATGCATCAGCATCTTGGCTTGGTTTGGCCTTTCTGTTCTTAGCCTCGTGTGCCCTGAGTGCCTTCGCACTTGCATGAACAGTCTTAAAAATGTTCCAGTAACTATAAATAATAGCGATTGGGGGAATAAGAAATGCCAAGATGCCTAAAATGATGGTGTAGCTATCACTAGCAGCCCAGTCGCACACACAAAGGTCTGTTTTCTGTTTGAAAGAAAATGAGCCCCATCCAAGTTGTGTTGGTAACACCAACAGTATTGCATAGATCCACAATACAGCAATCATCACAGCACATTTTTTCCAGGTGAATATGCTTCTCGAAATATCTGTGCGACAAATTGCAATATATCTGAAAAGGAAAAGTAGAAAGAATACAACTAATGCCTCAGACACATTTGATCTACGGCAACCGTACGGTAGTTGTAGCTTCCCAAAATCGAGTCGAGAAATATGCAGCATGAAATAAAGGGATAAACAATATAATGCATGTCGATTTTGAGAAGCTACGGCAGCCGTTAGGCCGCCGTAGAGCAAATATGAATGATGCTTTAAATAATGATCACAAACTTTATGTTTAATATTGGTTTCAACGATATGACATGCATGTTTACATAACAGTTTGCTTTGTTGGCAAAATATGAATGTATAATATAAGAATTTGTATTTGATACGATTATCTTAATATGCATTTGGAATATAGCCTTTCAATTAATTTTTACCTGTTCACTGCAACTGTAGAAATGTTATATATAGACCCTATGGTGCCCAGAGATAACACCATTGCTGTTCCCTGACAGTATGCATCTATCTTAAATCTTACTCCTCCTGTAAGTTGACTGTCAATAAAAGCTGGAGTTAAACTCAAAACTAATAAATCATGTATACTTAAATTTATTATAAACATATTATACACTTTCCGCAATGGTTTGATTTTTAAATATGCTACAATGATTGTAATATTTCCCAATGTTCCTGCGATTAGCAATACAATTTCCACTGCTATGAATACATAGTTCGGATTTGGTTCATAAAAGCCAACATATCCGATTGAGGCATTGGTATGATTTGCCATATTTGATTTTGGCTCTATTGTGCTATCCATGTCTGCAGCGGTATACGGTGTACTTTTTTAATGCGATGAGTATCTGCAGCCGCTTTATATTAGACGAGAAAACCCCAGAGCTTAGGGGTGTCAGACATAATTAGTAATTATGTCTCTTGCTTAGGCCTACCACTTTCGTTTTGTCGGAATTTTCATCTCTACACTACACTGTAGTTCCGAATACCACACGTCGATGTGATGTTTTCATCGATGTTAGCATATTCCTAACATCTTTCTTTGTCTTGATGTGAAATAACAAGCTATTACATTGGTAAGCACGCCAGAAACGAACATAATATGATTCGAAGCGTCTTTAGCTTTGACACCGCCATTGAATGACGTAATTTGTCTGTCGATTTGACCAATCAGCGATGATGTCTCCTCAATACACATTAGACACCTGTGTTGTCTTCTCCGGACCTTAGGGTATTTCTCTCTTGCATAAGATTAATTTGCGATAGACGAAACCGTGGTCTTAACATAAAAATATCTCCCTTAGAAATGCATCGCGTCAAGTTTCATTGCTTCATCAACTCATACCAAATTCTCCCAAAAAAGCCAATTTGCTATTAACATAATGCAATAAAAGCAATATTCGTTGCCGTTCGATATTTTGTCACGTGGCCTCGAGTTTTGCAAAAATGGCCTCGCAGCTATTCTACATCGTTTACATTCTCTCTGATCAATGTTTATGGCGAATCCTGACGGAAATGGCGATGAAGATCCATCCAGTATAGCATTGGAAGAGCCATTGTTCTAATGGAAACGCACCCGAGGAATTTTGACTGATTGACATTACAAATTAATGCGAAAATTATTTATATATATATTTAACATTTTTTGTTTTTTAGTGCAATTGTTTTTTGTTCCCTTTTACCAATTCTTGAGAATGAAATAAAATATCTTTCCGAATCTTGCAATTGTTGGAACAAAATAGCATATACAACATTTTCTTAGACCTCTCAATATTAAAGTTACACAAAGGAAATTTTGGTTGATTTAACAAAAAGTATTAAAAAAATTAAAACAAAAATCCCCAAAATAGATAAAAATTAAGATAAACCTTTTATTTCATTAACAAGATACTTTTTTTAAATCAACCGAACATTCCTTTGTAAAATAACAATATTTAGAGACCTAAACACGTTGTGTTTAGGTCGTTTTGTTCCAATGAGGTTCGGATAGATGTTTCATTGTAATTCCGAACACATGATACAAAGAACAAAAGAAGTGTCTGGTGTGTTTTCTAAAACAGTATAGAGAAAAGTATATCTCCATTGTTAGTAGGCAATATTTTTTATATTCAGGGGTTGGGGGGGGGGGCAAACATTACATCGACAAAATATTATACTATTATACTTGGTTTGCTTAACGTATTGCTATTGTATGTGCCTTTTTATAAGTAAGATATTAGATTTACTTGAAATTCAAAATATGAATGTCATCAACTGACAAATAATCCAGGAACTCATGGTCAGATTGATTTGGAACTCATACAGTGATTACCTTGGAGCATATTTGTTACCATGGCAATTCGTTTGAGCTAGGATGAAAAAAAGAATTCTTTTCTTCATCCTAGGTTTGAGTGGCTACATTTTTGATAAATTAATTTTCACTCTCCAATACTAAATGCACTTAGGTGCTGGTGATCTTTTTTCATGTAAATGTCATGATTTATTAATGCAAAGGCTTAACAATAAAATAAAATATACATATTTACATATCTTTATTGATTCTTTGATATTATATAAACGACGTATCAAATTGATAATGCTTATAGGACATCCTATGATTTTGAGGAATATCATTTTTATCTAGGAGGTGATATTGATATCTGCACGAGAGAGCAAAGCGAACGAGTGCATAGATCAATATCACCGAGTAGATAAAAAATGATATTCTGAAAAAATCATAGGATGTTCTACACTTATTATCCTACACTTACGAGGAGTGAACTGCAAAATGAATTTCATGCAAAACAGAGTCAATTTGGCGGGAAATCACCAAGCGGTGTATATCGTTCCGATATCCTCCGCATATTGGTTTTCCGGAGTATATCGTAGCGGTATCCTCCGGTTATTCATTTTGCCATGAGATATTAAATTTATTTTTTAATGTTATTATACATTTAGCACACTAAGTGTAGGATAAAGAAGTATAACAATAGACTACATAATATATATAAATATTGCTAATTATATCTTTGGTGGTGATGTGATATGTCCACATACTTTCAATCATTTATGTTTCACCATTTCAACACCATCCCTCCATGCAAAAATATTGCGACAGTCTTTTCTAGACAATAATTTGTCATGTGTATGTATGTATATATTTATTGCCCTTTATAAAAAGGAGATACATTCATGCAGCTAAACATAAACGTGGCCACTACACAGATGTAAGTTACAACAGGTTGTATAAATCTCAGAAGAGATGACACTGTCACCTATTTAAAAGCTATCCCTGACACAATAGGGATAACCATTAGATTGTCCCATCATTGTAGCATAAACTTTGAAATGGGAGATCATGAGAAAACAGTGACCCATCAAGAATTGTTGAAAAATCGATTTTCCACTATAAGTATTTTTCATGTTATCAATTTATTTCTAATATAAACAATTACAATCGATTTCAATTAGCTAATTGCCAAGGTTTTACAACATTAGCGGCAATTTAATATATATATATATGTATGCAAATATTAGACATAAAATAAAAGGGTTGTTTGGGTTTTTCAACTTTAATGATATGGTGATTATATATATAGAGTCACCCCTGTGTGCTATATGTGGGGGAAGATATACAATATGTATAATACAAGATTTAAATAAATCAGTCTAGAATATCGTGACAAAGTATTGTTAGAATAGAAGATATAGTTCTTCACTCACATTTATTCAAAGTACACCCCTCCAAAAGTTTGGAAACCACTGGCCATTTGACTATAGCTATTTATCGTATGATCTGTAAATGAAGCCTTCTGATTGGTCAATCTCAGTATCAATACAAAAGATCACACGATAAAAACGCTATTGAATGATTTGAAGTGCAATACAGGATATATTCTGTCTCGATATTCTGTATTGGCACTCGACTTCGTCTCGTTCCAATACGGAATTTCTCGAGCAGAATATATCATGTATTGCACTTCAAATCATTCAAAAACTTATAGTGTTATAGCCTGGATATGGATTATCAGTAATAAAGTTCATCATCATCATCATCGAGGGAAAATCAGATTTAACATAAATATGCTTTTACAAACGCTATCTATTGTTGAGTCAGTGTAACCACACTTTTGGAGGGGGTGTAGTGTATCTTAAGACTTATACCATCAAATCAATGAAGCCATTCTGCTGGGAAAATCATTATTAATAAAATAGTTGGTGAATCCTAGATAGTCATTCATATCAATTTGTTTTATTATTATATATGTTCATAATTTACATAATTGCAGGTCAACATTTATCATGCTTCAAATACCATTTAAATCTGAATGGCTTCATTGGCTTTCAATTTTAGATTTCAATATTCACATTGACACTTCCCGAAAAATGTTTGGGAAACATCAATTCCCTTATTAAGCCAGATTTTAGTCTTAGTGCTTTGCAATCTAAAAATTTGTCTGTAATTTGTCCTAATATGTAATTAATAAGATTCAAAATGTCAACGGGCTTCGAGTTATCCAATTTGGGAGCCATGGTTTCCAAACTTTAAGAAGGGAGTGTAAGTCTTCATAGATGACCTGGTCATCAGTAGGAAATGTCCTTCTCACATGCCAGTCCCAAATATGTGTTACAAGGAGTGGACGCCCACTCCAAATTCTTAAACCTGCGCCACATGGCCACACATGGAATATTAGTCTTAGGGTGGCCGCTTGAATACCTGCAATAAATACAAGAACCTTTTCAATGAAGCACGCATCAAACTCCCTGACCATCCGAAAAGAAGTAAATATGAAGAGGCTCCAGAGAGTTATCATCTAACATTAGAGGTTATCAACCTAGTTACTACATGTAAGTTACAGATACACAACATTGGAAACATATTTTTGATTGAATACAACTAATCATTTCCAACAATGGATAGAAATATAGTAACTAACTAATAAAAAACTGATAAAAACAAGAAAACTGATAAATAAAACAGATAAATAAATAAAAGTGAAAAGTGACTGGAACTATTTTTGCATTTACATTCTGCAGGCGCTTGGAAGAATAATGGCAAAATGGATTCCTACATTTATGGGAAATGTACTACTGGCGCTGCATTTGCCCCTGTACATCCACATTTACTATCTGATCCATGCATGGTATCTAGTCTTAGAGACTCGAAATAATAGGCCAGGGCATATCTTGTCATTAACATTTATTCAAGGGAAAATTCTAAATGATATCAGCTAAAGATACGGGTGCTTCCTGGGTAATAAGAGTGTCTGGCTGCCCTGCGAACACAACAATTACAAGACGGTCACACACTCTTATTACCCAGAGGGCACCTGTGGGGACTGAGGCTTACCAGCGAGTATAGCCAACCGTCTTATTTGTCTGTTCCCAGACCCACTCCTGTGGGCTGTGTCTATTGACATACGGTAGGGCTGTCCGAGCGCTAGTCCACCAGCCGTTGGGAAGATCCTCTGAAGAAAAGATGCTAAAAGGATAACATTTTTTATGAAAAAGGACACTGATATCCGCATTCATTTCAGCATTTCTGAGAAAAGAAACATGGTACACCAGTTTAACTTTAGTAGTTATAAGTGCCTTTGTTCAATAAGTAAACTCAAATTCCGCAAACATACATAAACAAATAAAGTTCAAGTATGCCAAACCTATATAAAATATTACATTTAATTAAACAGGCAATGCGCCTATTTTTGAAAGAAAAGGAACAAAAAATTATTTGAGACATGTCACTCACAGAGTCAATCAAATATGATAAAAACTTTAATTTGGGATAATACTGAAATGAAAAAAAAATTACTCGCACAGAAAACGGCATTTGAAGTTCAGAGATTGAAAAAAGTGAATTACCACTTTTCAGAAAGTGTATGTTTTAAATAACTCTTGGATTGTAAGATGGCGTATGCTTGAAAATCCTATCAAAAACGAATGGATAATCAATGCAAATAACAATGCCATCTTTCTATGGCATTGCTAAGAAATTGACACATATAAATTGATAGATCAAAAATATTTTTTCATGATCTAGTGTCAACTCTGATGTGGTCTGTTTGAGCTGTTTTTGGTGTCAAATGAAAGATCAGGTACTTATAAATCCATTGGAAATACTATGAAGATCAAAAGAGAGACTTCATTTACGCACTTTGTCCCTTTAATCAATAAAATCATTAAGATAATTACATAACAACCAGAGGGGTTCACGGTTTTGCGGGGGTATTTCAGTAGCAGTTCTTAAAAGTATATGCCTTTGAAGGTCTTGCTTTCCAAAATTTGCACGAGATGCGCAACATCGAGTGTTGATTTTAGGAAACAAAGCCTGAAAGGAATGGTCATTTCACAATGCATCGAGTCTTGGGCTTAAATTATTTTCACACATTGCAAAAAAGCAAAATATTATTTACCATGTCACTATGGACTCTATCAGGTGGAAGAGCCCATGATGTTACTTAATACGAAATCACTAAACTAACTTATTTTCAATGAGACTTTTTTGGGTCAAGTTGGCAAATCAATAATTTCAATCTGTATTTGTCACCTTGACAACCATAGTCGAACCATTCAAGGAATGACCTTGGGTGCGGTGATTGGTTATATAATGCACTGTAGTTATATGAAATACTGTGATAGGATTGGAGCGAATCGGAGACAACTTGCCTAACTGTGTGAATGAATAATAATTCCTTTTACACAGTGGGCCAAAGTTTGCTCGGGACCAAGTTTTACGATTTATTTGTTTATTGCATTTTTCGATACGCACTGTTTATGTTTTATTTTTTGTAGTAGGTATCATGATCTTAGTTACGTGTACATACATGCTGTACAGCGCATTACTGTGTACTGTGTCGGGTTTTTAGAAATGACCTTTCCAATGGTAAATATTGCTTTGGAATATTTTATGAACTTTTTACAATTTTACAATGCAAACATCATGAGAAAATCAGTGAAATTGCAAATTAATTTGTCATTGCTATACTGATAAGAACAGTCCCCTCACCTGACGGTTTATCATTTTTTGCCATATGTCGCAGATGCGCCGGTAAAGCATGCGCCAATCCCCTAGCTTTCATAGCTCTCACGATAGCATCAAAGCGAAATCCGGAAGATTTCTTAACTGCTTTTGGACCTCCCTGTTTTAATTTCTTCGCGGTCTCTGAAATCACAGAGATTCCAAAAAAGGATTAAAACGCTTTTTTGCAGAACGAGGGCGTTCCATTTACACAGCCTCTCCTGTTTGGTTTGGCGTGAGGTTTTAAGAAATGTACCTCCTGTTGAGGTGATTATAATAAAACATTAATCTAAACTTTAGATCGCTTTTAATCACTGTTGGATAGCCAAAATACATGATTTTTGTGATGTCCGTAACGACAATCCCATAGGACCGTAATTAATCCCAAACGCTGATCAACGGTGGAAGCTATATTGAAGTTACTGAAGATACAATTCAAGAAATCTAGGAGTTTTCAATGTTACCAATATTAGATATATATAGAATACAAATAGAATATTGAGTAAAATAGAATAAGTATAATATGTATCTAAATGTCGCATGAAGTATTGCACAATGCAATCATAAGAATTTCATCGATGTTGATAAGTTAAAAAAAAAGATCATGGTTGATAATCCATGATTTTTGTATAAAGTAATTGTTCAAAAACAATTTAATAAGTATTCTCAAACTTTTTTGAATGTAGGTTATTGAAAGAAACTTCTAGCAAATTGGTTAGTTGTTTATCAGTAGGCCTTCTTCTAGAACTGGATCACCGCGAGGAGATCTTCAAAGCTGTATTCAAGCGATCCGGCCGCATCTTTTTTAAGACGTAATAAAATTTGGTCGTATTAAATTCAAGAGTACAAAAAGGCAAGATTTGAAACTGGGTCAGTTTTGATGTTTTGGCACCTGTTGATGTTAATACTGTCCAAAATCAAATCAAGAACTTAAAGGACTCGGCCGCAGCCATTGATGATATTAAACCAAAAGTTGTTAAAGTATTACATGATCATATAGCTGATCCTCTTACTTTCATTTATAACCTCTCTATGACCACAGGTATTTTTCCCGAAGAACTTAAACTTGCTAAAGTTATTCCAATTTTCAAAAAGGGGGAACATGATAAATTCACAAACTATAGACCAATATCTATTTTAAGTGTATTTGCTAAGATGTTTGAAAAAATAATGCATGACAAAGTATCTACTTTTTTAGAGAAATATGAATTATTGGAGAGGTTAAGCTTTGCATATATAATCGAAACTGAACCTGTACGTATCACTCGACCATATACAAATTCATGTAGCCTTCTCATATAAATAGCCGTTCAAATCCAGTGTTTGTTTAGACTACACCATAGCGTGTAATGATTCTATAGTATGTCATTGATGCGGTTTTATAGCTGGTTTTCTAATACATATTTTAAACGAGCTCGTTTCGTAAGATTTTTGGCGCTAAATCATGCATGACATACATCATCGTGTTCAGCAAGAATTCAACTGTACATCGAAATCAAAATTGACAGCATAGTGTTCAATAGACACGAGTAAAATGGTTCCCGTTGACCCAACGTCAAATATTCAAATCTCCCGTTCTAAACCCGAAACTCTGAAGCTGAAAGAGTATCTGAAGTAGACTAAGCGCGCATAAAACTATGAGCGCTCGATACATTTCTTTGTTAATTTTTGTACTTTGCGTTCACGGTTACGTTGTGAAAAACATCGCTAGCTTAACCTCTCCATTGTATTTACACCAGTACGGCTTTCGGAAACATAGATCAACTTACATGGCACTCCTAGAATTTATTGAAAATGTCAGACATTCATTAGATAACAAAGAATATTGTATCGGAATATATTTGGATCTATCAAAAGCTTTTGATACTGTTAAGCATGCAATATTACTTAAAAATGGAACATTATGGTATAAGAGGAATTGCACTTTCATGGTTTTCATCTTATTTATCAAATCGAAAAATGAAAACTGAATACTCTAAAAGTTTATCCGAGAAATATTTGTCTGAAGAAGCAATCGTTAACTGTGGAGTACCCCAAGGGTCTGTTCTAGGCCCCCTCCTATTTATCATATTTGTAAATGATTTCTATCTAGTTTCTGATAAACTCAAACTGGTGATTTATGCGGATGACACTAATATATTATGTAGTGATTCCAATCTTGATAATTTGACCACAACCGTAAATTCTGAACTGTGTGACATCAATGATTGGTTGTTGGCCAATAAACTCACTTTAAATGTTAAGAAAACAAAATACATGGTCTTTGGAAATAAAAGAAATATATCTGTGAACAATGAAATAAAAATTGCAAATTCTAACCTTGAACAAGTAGATGAGATAGGATTCCTGGGAGTAATTATTGATTCAAAATTATCTTGGGCTCCCCATATCAATGCTCTTCATAGAAAAGTTTCAAATGTTATAGGAATGTTATATCGAACAAATTATGCTCATACTTTAAATTCAAAGATGATAATATATAACTCTCTGATTTTTTCTCATCTTAATTACTGTAATATTTTATGGGGAAATGCTTGTAAGAATCTATTAAATAAACTAATGATATTGCAAAAGAAATTTGTTAGATTAATAACAAATTCAGATAGATTAGCTCACACATTCCCAATTTTTCAAGATCTTAAAATACTTAATATTTATCATATTCACACAATCCAAACTGTTTCATTCATGAAAAAAGTTATAAGCAAATCTGTACAGTTCCCTTCAAAATTATACGATCACTATTTCAAAACTAGAGAAAACATACATCAACGTATAACTCGATTTGGTCATAACTTAGATATTCCTAAACATAGAACCAGAATTGGTGAAAATTCTATTAAGGTCCATGGTTCATATATATGGAATTCCCTCAATGAAGATATTAGAAATAAACCATTAAATTCACTCATATCTCGTTTGAAAATTGACCTCCTGAGTACACAGTAACCAAAACATTTATTTCATTTCTTTATTGTCTCATATTATTGTATTTGTATATTGTATTTATATTATATTATTGTATTGACCTATGTACCACTTTAAATGTTCACAGTTTATCATGTTTATTGTAAATTTAATTATGGGCAGTCATACACCCCCTGGGGTGTCATAGCCTGTATAATGTTGTAATTTTTGTAATGAAAACTGAAATAAATTATTTTGAAATTGAATTGAATTGATGTGTTCTAATTTTTACGATCAATTTTCAAGGCTTCCCCACCCTTTGTTTAAAACCTATCGCCTAAAACCTATTTAATTTGCAATTTCACCGTGTTCCCAATTTTCCCGTAATTTTAGGGACTTACTTGTAAACAACTTGAGTTTCTTCGTCAAAAACAAGTCCTCTTGTACACTTTCGATAGCGACTAGGTCTGCCCCACTGGCCTGGCATGCCTTGCGGGCGTCATCGTACTTGTATATGAAGTTGCTGAAGAAGTAGCACTTGCTCATACACTGAACGAAATAAGGTGGGCATCCATCAACGTTCTCGTGGCTCGAGGTTGGGGTATCTAAAAGATTAGAATAAAATTTTTGAATAAAATTGCGCCACACTCATGAAACATTTTGTGATTTTCTGAACTAATTGGAAATATTTCCATCATGGAAAATAATAACACTGGATGCAAATTTGAATAAATTAGTTTTAAGCAAAATATGATTTAGTTTAATCTTTTAAAAGGGTCGACTGAAATTTCAAAAGTCTGTAATCCCGTTCATAAATTAACCAAAATAATACCATTTAGAATGATCTGTAATCAATCATAGTTCTGAAATTATCAAAGAAGTGCTTACTTTCCAATATGATTTTACCACTCTCACATTTTCTCAGTTAAAGTACAAATTCACCCGGGCTTTAATTTTTCTCTACACGAGCAATCATTTTCAAAGTTCGGCATAAGTTGATTTACATGCAGTCTTGATTGTGCACATTTCAAATCGCTATTTTTAGTAAAACCATTTTTGAGTAACGATTACATAATTACAGACACTTGACTACATGTAGCTAGCCCCTTTAATTATATTCTTACCATGACCGTGTGCATCCCTCTTACTGATTGTCACATCTCGCTTTTTTCTAGACACACGGGGTTGAATTAATTCTTCAAGAGCTTCAACATCCCGTTTCTTCCGCGAAACATGGGCCTCCAGTAGTTCCCCGAAATCATCTTCGTCTGTCATATCGTACTTGTCCAAAGCATACCCATCAGATGGACCATTGATGACACCGTCCTCTACGAGCATGTTAATCATATCATCATCGTAGTCTTCTAGGTCACTTACATAGGCTTCTTCATAGGGTTCATCTTGTTTTGGAGTTGCCGTAGTTCGGTTTTCATTGCCTATCGAAACTGCAACACTTAGGTGAAGTATTGCAAAGTAAAATATCGCCGCTAACTTCATTTTCGGATTTCGATTCGAGTAACTTTGAAATTGGATGCTGCAATCGTGAATGTATGTTTAAGAACAATGGTCTGAGACCAGACTTATATAGAATATTGTTTCGACTTGTAAAGCCAATGTCCTGTTGAAAAGGATAAACTAGATTCCGTGACATAGATCGTGATTTTTTAATTATAAAACTTGAAAAGTTATTGGTATTTTTATCTGATTTGTCATGTTGTTGCTTTCTCATACGTTTTGGGGCAAAATTGCTACATTTTACAATAGAGGTTAGAATCTTTGGGACAACGCGGAGACTTGTGTCTGATGTGAATTCCTTAATTCCCGCTACAAACATGCCAATTGTTATCGCAATTGTCATCTTGTAATAATAAAGAAAATCTTAGGTTGTTATGGCAAATAAAAACATACACACAACACCATGGTGCTTACTACTTTTGTCATAACGAATGATTATAAGGGGCGGGTTATATGGGAATGAATAATTTAATACAACAGAAAGAATGATTTTGAAATGGTGGTCCCTTGATTAATGTATCGCACGATTTCAGTTGTTTGCACATAAGTAATCACCATCTTAATATGCATGCCTTAAACAGTTCTTGTGAGACTTTCCAAAAAGTAAGTCTTCTGGTAAGAGTATGACAAATCTTTAATTTGTCTTACATGTCTTATAACAAGGATTAGTAATCTATTAAAACTTAACACGTCGCCGTGTATAGGGAACTCACTGAACGAAATGCCCCCGGGGAACTGCTACAACAGAGATTGCGAACACATCGCTCTTCTTTGCGTCAGTGCAATGATAATGATTAGTTATCAGATTGATAACCTATCATCTACACTCCCTTATAAAAGGTTGGAAACAACAGCTCCACAATACTATATGCCAGAGCCTGTATTAGTAGTGATTACTGAATACCCTTAAGTTCTTAAACTGTAGTTGAAGCTCCCTTTTAAGATGTAAAATCAAACGAATGCAAATGTTTTGTAATTTTAAATAATTCCATACGTAATACTATTAATAGTCCACCCGTGTAGCTCAGCGGTAGCGCAGGTACCTCTTACGCAATAGGTCCCGGATTCGATCCCCGGTTCAGGCAAGACTAAATTTGCTTGTTTGCGTGAAGTACTTCAGGGTGCAGGGTGTTTGACTGAGTGGTCCGCAACTCGTACAAAAGGCTGTGGTGTGTACTTGTATGTCTATGTATAAGTGCACATAAAAAGAACACATGGCTCCTTCGAGGAGGGGTTTCTGGGTCTATCTTCCATGTTAATTACGTAAATTACGACCGTATATATACGGGACATACCCAAGGGGTATTGCTCACCTTCATTGGTGGTAAACAAAATACAACAATACTATCAAAAGTATGTTAAAGTTGTCAAACTTTTGGAGGGGGTGTATATACATACCTGATATGCTGATAACGTTTAGTTTCTTACCCAAATCGTGTCATCTTTGGCTAACATGGGGTAAGGAGTTTGTATACACTGTCTTTGTATTTTAGCTGTATCCAGATACAAAATGGTACGTATCATATTATAATTCTGTTAAGGTTTTCATTATTAAATGCACTACTCAAGAGAAACAGAAAAAAACATATTCCGTAGATTGTAGATTGGAATTTGTTATATGAAATTAAACAAAATATTGTAACGTATTCGGGATTTTTTCGAAATCATGGATGTTCGCAATACAGTACTGACAAGTTAAACAGACAAACATTTTGGTAAACTACATACTTTCTCAAAAATTCTTTATACGCTACTAGCCGGGTGTTAAATATAAAATCTTTGACAATTTATCATCGGCATTTTAGCGACGAGTTTATATCTGAATACAGATGTGGCCTAAATAAAAGGTTAGTTCCTTACTTGGTGGTACCTTATTAAGACTATACTAAACACGGGGGAAACATGGACTTTGCAACAGGTACCATGATACGATACAAATGTCATGCGACTATATAGCTTATTGTCTCGGGAATTCAGATTCACTCGCGAATCCCGGTTATATCAAGGGCGGACGAAGGCCTAATACCCGGAACGTTCGCAAATTGGCGTTCGGTTTTTTACCGCATCCGGTTTGAATTAGCCATTAACATTGTCTAATGAAGACCAAACAAAAAAGCCCCGGTGGTTCTTGTGCCATGCTCACCTACACGGGAATTTTAAAAATGCAAATACAAGTGTATCATTCGTATCACCCACACGGGAAATTTGAAATGTAATTTACGAGTGCATTATCCGTAGTTGTCGTAGTCAACATACTATTATGTAGTTAGTTCAATAAAATACCCGTAGCAGACGTAGATATACATACGGTGGATCCTATGGTGTGTATGTATACCTATAGACTCATGTTTTGATGTAGCAAGCGTAGTAGGCGTAGTAAACATACTATGATGTGGTTATTTTCAATAAAAATACCCGTAGCAGACGTACAGATGTATCTAGGGTGGACCCTAGAGTGTGTATGTATACCTATAGACTTATGTTTTGATGTAGCAAGCGTAGTTGGCGTAGTTCACATACTAGCAGACGTAGACATACCTAGGGTGGGCCCTACAGTGTGCATGTATACCTATAGACCCCTGTTTTGGTGTAGCAAGCGTAGTTGGCGTAGTCAACATACTATCATGTGGTTATTTGCAATAAAATACCCGTAGCAGACGTAGCTATACCTAGGGTGGACCATGACAGTGTGTATGTATACCTAGAGACCAATGTTTTGGTGTAGCAAGCGTAGTTGGCGTAGTCAACATACTATCATGTGGTTATTTTCAATAAAATACCCGTAGCAGACGTAGCTATACCTAGGGTGGACCATGAGAGTGTGTATGTATACCTATAGACCAATGTTTTGGTGTAGCAAGCGTAGTTGGCGTAGTCAACACACTATTATGTGGTTATTTGCAATAAAATACCCGTAGCAGACGTAGCTATACCTAGGGTGGACCATGACAGTGTGTATGTATACCTATAGACCAATGTTTTGGTGTAGCAAGCGTAGTTGGCGTAGTCAACATACTATCATGTGGTTAGTTTCAATAAAATACCCGTAGCAGACGTAGCTATACCTAGGGTGGACCATGACAGTGTGTATGTATACCTATAGACCACTGATTTGGTGTAGCAAGCGTAGTTGGCGTAGTCAACATACTATCATGTGGTTATTTGCAATAAAATACCCGTAGCAGACGTAGCTATACCTAGGTTGGACCATGACAGTGTGTATGTATACCTAGAGACCAATGTTTTGGTGTAGCAAGCGTAGTTGGCGTAGTCAACATACTATCATGTGGTTATTTTCAATAAAATACCCGTAGCAGACGTAGCTATACCTAGGGTGGAGCATGACAGTGTGTATGTATACCTATAGACCAATGTTTTGGTGTAGCAAGCGTAGTTGGCGTTGTCAACATACTATGATGTGGTTATGTTCAAAAAATACCCGTAGCAGACGTAGTTATACCTAGTCTGGACCCTACAGGGTGTATGCTTGTTTTGGTCTCTAGGTATACATACACACTATCATGGTCCACCCTAGGTATAGCTACGTCTGCTACGGGTATTTTATTGAAAATAACCATATGATAGTATGTTGACTACGCCAACTACGCTGGCTACACCAAAACATTGGTCTATAGGTATACATACACACTGGCATGGTCCACCCTAGGTATAGCTACGTCTGCTACGGGTATTTTATTGAAAATAACCACATGATAGTATGTTGACTACGCCAACTACGCTTGCTACACCAAAACATTGGTCTATAAGTATACATACACACTCTCATGGTCCACCCTAGGTATAGCTACGTCTGCTACGGGTATTTTATTGAAAATTACCATATGATCATTGATAGTATGTTGACTACGCCAACTACGCTGGCTACACCAAAACATTGGTCTATAGGTATACATACACACTGGCATGGTCCACCCTAGGTATAGCTACGTCTGCTACGGGTATTTTATTGAAAATAACCACATGATAGTATGTTGACTACGCCAACTACGCTTGCTACACCAAAACATTGGTCTATAGGTATACACACACACTGCCATGGTGTACCCTGGGTACAGCTACGTCTGCTACGAGTATTTGATTGAAAATGACCACTTCATAGTATGTACTGTGTTGACTACGCCAACTACGCCTGATACACTAAAACATGAGTCTATAGGTATACATATACTCTGTAGGGTCACCTTATGTACAACTACGTCTGCTACGGGTATTTAATTGAACAAAAACAGTATAGTATGTTTAATACGCCAACTACGCTTGCTACACCCAAACATGAGTCTATAGGTATACCACACACTGCCATGGTGTACCCTGGGTATAGCTACGTCTGCTACGAGTATTTTATTGAAAATGACCACTTCATAGTATGTACTGTGTTGACTACGCCAACTACGCCTGCTACACCAAAACATGAGTCTATAGGTATACACATACACTGTAGGGTCACCCTATGTACAACTACGTCTGCTACGGGTATTTAATTGAACAAAAACAGTATAGTATGTTTACTACGCCAACTACGCTTGCTGCACCTAAACATGAGTCTATAGGTATACACACACACTGCCATGGTGTACCCCGGGTACAGCTACGTCTGCTCAGGTACAGCTATGTATACTTCTACGAGTATTTTATTGAAAATAACCACATCATAGTATGTACTTTGTTGACTACGCCAACTACGCTTGCTACACCAAAACATGAGTCTATAGGTATACACACACACTGTAGGGTTCACACACTGCCATGGTGTACCCTGGGTACAGCTACGTCTGCTACGGATATTTTATTGAAAATGACCACTTCATAGTATGTACTGTGTTGACTTCGCCAACTACGCCTGCTACACCAAAACATGAGTCTACAGGTATACATACACATTGTAGGGTCACCCTTATGTACTACTACGCTATGTCTGCTACGGGCATTTATTTGAAGAAAAACAGTATGGTATGTTTACTACGCCAGCTACGCTTGCTACACGGAAACATGAGTCTGTAGGTATACTCACACACTGTCATGGTTCACCCTAGCCTACGCCAACTACGCTTGCTACACCAAAACATGATCAGGGTACATTACGTATGTACGCGTGATTTTACATGTTGGTTGCGCTTTCTACACATGTGCGAGCCTACCAAAGCCACATTTGTCTGCATGTTACAGAAATCATCACGAAATATGTTCACCTATCTATGGGATTGTAACATGGGCATGTTATATTGATACATGTCAAGTAGGTGATCACCGCACACGTGCCGCCCCGGTTGTCGTGTCGTTTCTGTTACACAACTAAGCCACATGTATTAAATAAGCTCTTGGTTAAAAATTGCACATTGCAAATTGGTTTTTACTTTATAGGTGTAAATGCGACTCTACCACCAAACGATGTTGATGATGGATTCGATGGTAGGTCAACAAAAAAATCAGAATTGTATTGCCAATAATCAGAATATTATTCGGCAATCTAATTAGCTAATTGCAAATTTGAAAACAACGTATTTGATTATTTTTTGTTGCCATGTTGTCGCCTAGGTAACAAGTTAGAGATTCAGAGCTACAACGGTAGACGATCGGGTAGTGCTACCAACACGCACAGCTGTGGCTACGTACGGGGGGGTACCCAGTATGCTTCGTAGCGCCTCAAACATGTATCCTAGTGGACTTGGTTCATTCTACCAGAAGTATACAGAGGCATATGGTATCCCTGTTATCAGTGAGTAATATTGTTGCTGCCGCTTGTGTGGGTTTTGAAAAGGCATGTGTATCGCCCGGGTGTATCGTAAAAATTGAATAGCTCCGAAAATTTTACTTTTCGTTCAAATTGAGTAATTGTCGCCTCTCATCATCGTCATCCTTTATAGATATATTCCGATAAATCGTGAATTTTTAGTGTTTTGCTCGATTTTATAGTGAAACCCACACTTTTTTAAACCATCCGCCAATTTTTTGTTCCCAGAATTTTTTGTAAATTCTGATTTTTCTCCATGTTCATTTTTAGCAATCCAAATTCTTTTTAATTGATTTTTCTGCTGTTTTTAGAAACCTCTATTTTCTTCTTATGTTTCTAAAAAATCCTGATATTCTCCCGATTTTTGGTATGATACTCCGGCGCCATTTTCAATAGCTTTTCTTCCCAGCGTAATTGGACTTCAAACAGAAGTGAAAGTTACCCGCAAATGATATATCCATTGCATGGAGTAAGTAATTTTGCATGGTATAACGAAACATATGAGTTAAAAAATAAATCGTGGAGTATTCTTAGTGTTTTTATGAAAAATAGCATGCTCCGTCACAGCGGACAAATATTTTGATACCAGCCTGTGCTTATACATTGGAAATGAACCCCGATTTTCACCAAGATTTCTTTCCTACGAACCCCGATTTTAGAAAAATGTATTCCAATTTTTATTATTTTTTCTTGCTAAAAATAAATGAAATAAATGACTTAATAATACAATAACTTTTGAATGTCTTTTCATTTAGGTTCCAGTCGAGTAAGTGACAGTGCTCTTCAAAGGGCCTGCTGCGTCATTAGATTCCTATTGGCTGATCGCTATGACGTAAGGAACGCTTTCTTCAGGAGCGCTGGGCGAGTTGCATTGATAGGTACTAGTGAAGGAACAACGGACATTCCAGAACACAGTTACTTGCCCAAATCCTGGGATCAGCGAGCCAGGGGCCTGGGTGGCACTCCATCAAGGCCTGCATCTACAGCGGGAGAGGAGAACGCATTGTGTCTTCCGAACGATAGATACCGCAGTGAAGATATTAATCTCCATGAGTATGTACATGGCGTTCATCTTATTGGCGCAAATCTGGCAATTCCTGGATTCATGAGCCGGCTAACGTCTTTGTATAATTCCGCAAAAGCAGCAGGGAAGTGGGCAAGAACTTACTCAATGAGTACTGTGCAGGAATACTGGGTAACTCGTTATTTCATCTGAACCAGCCAATACGGTATCTACATTTAGATTTTAAACCATTGGCTTTTTCAAATCATTGTAAATGTCTCCCTTACGTCATGAGACATTGAAACGCCCCAGCGTTTGAACATTTACCGTGGCAAAAATCCATATAAATGTACCCATTCATTTGGTATGATATTGTCTATTAAATGATATAGGCAGAGGGATGCCAGAGCTACTTCAATGTCAACCGACATTCTAATGTCCCGGATGGAATTCAGGGCCCAATCAGCAACAGGAATGCGCTCAGGGGCTACGATCCTCCTCTGTACAACATCATCCGGGAAGTGTTTCCTTGTGATAATGAGTACATAAAGAGATGCACCAAGAGCAGAAGTAAGTACGATTCTCTAGATCGCCAATATGTTTCTCTCTCCAAGTTAAGACAAATATTGGGGAAATATGTAAGATTGGGTTAAGGCTTTATGCGAGAAAACATCATTTCATCCCTTCTATATCAATCTGTCTGTAGGTGGGGAGGCAAATCAAAACCTACGTATGAATTGCAGAGGCGGTGGTGGAGGGCCTATTACAAGCAGACCAACCTATCGGACAGTTCGTCCCACTAGGCCCGTAGTGAGACCAACGCAGCCACCGTCTGGTAATCTGTTTCATTGTCTACCCACTTCCCTCGTTTCCCCATCAAACTTTAATTGGTTATTTCATCTTGTCTTATTTATCTGATATCCATTTAATTTTAGAGGAACTAAAAAGAACTAAATTACAAAGACAATGCGTATTCCAATCTTGTAAAAAAACGTTGATGTGTCAATGGTCTTACAATAGTTGTGTCGACAATCGTAGAACAACCCTTGAAACTTCGTTGAACAACGACTGTACAACTTTTGAAAACCATTGATCATTTTGTAAAATATTTACTCCCCAATTTGGGCCTCTGAGGAATGCATGCATCAATGTTGCGGCATTAATATGGGACTTTTTAGATGAGACGAAGGGCTTAGAAAATAATCACTACCTGTTCGATGGGGGCGGTGTGAATGAAAATACCATTCATATATATTTATACATATTTTCATCAATGGAACCTCATGTCACTGATTTTCCACGTTGTAGGATGCAATGACAACAGTATATTCTGTTCGACATGGCGTCAAAAAGGCTATTGTCACTTCATTGAGATGGTCAGAAATAGTTGTCCAAATACGTGCAACCTTTGTAACGTTGGTGGTACGGGCGGCTCTGGTGGGACAGGAGGTACGATATATGTAGTATAGGATAAAATAAAAAAGTAGGATCTTATCAAAATACGAGTATACCCATCATATCAATTTTTATGAATATAAAGGACACCAGGTATTAGTTGTAGTTTAATGCCAGAAAGAGTGATGTAGTAATGGCAAAAACCTACCTAGCAATTCGATCTGTTCCATCTGAAATATGCCTCAAAAGATGAAATGGTGAAATCATAATAAGATTAAAGGTGCCAAATGAAAAAAATGTCGCAAACAATAGAATATAGAAGGTAATACCACGTTCATACTTATAGAAATGAACACAAAAATGTAAACAAATTTCATTAAACTGAGTCTGAAACTACATATGGCAAAGGAATGACATGAGATAAAATCTAAATCTGAATTGCAAACAAAATCACTCGCTAGATCCGATTTTGCCTTTAAAGGTCCCATACAAAGTTTGGAAAAAGTTGGTCTTTTAGTTATTAAATATTTCAGAATTCCCGATATTTAAGCAGTAAAGGTTGCTCAAATATGATCGTCAAAAAGAACACTATATTGGAAAACATCATTCACATTTTGTTTTCAGGAAGTCGATGTATTGATGAGAATGTCAATTGTGCGTCTTGGGCCTCGAGGGGCGAGTGCAGCAAGAACCAAGGCTACATGTTGCAGAAATGCAAGAAAAGTTGCAATGTATCATGTTAAAATTAACTTCGAAGAAATACAATACTTTGAATCACAAAAGTATGGTTTTAACAAATTAACTTAGAATACCTAATCGAGTTCTGTTTTTATATTTCAACATACTATGTATTGCTCGTTAGACTTAAGATAGTTTAGGCTTTTTATATCTAAATTCTCAGTGTTAGACCAATTGAGGGCCATTGTTTGTCTATGTATTTTAAAACAAAGGCTTAGCTGAAAGATGTACGAGAAGTCAAACTTTTGTGACACTTCATTTGCTGTTTTAAAACATTATGTGACAGTTTATAAAGTATATCCAATTCAGGCCATTCCTTTGTATAAAGTGTGCGGAACACGTTCGATACACAATAATTAGACAGAGGTTCAACAACTTTTGGATCCAATATTATGCAATATGTTGAGAGCAGACAAAGGTAAGGGAATATCACAGTAAGAAAGAAGATGATTTAAATTGTGGAAATCTGTGAAAATCTAATTTTTTCTGAAATGGCACTTGGGACATTAGATTGCTTACCGAAACCAAGACATGTTACAGCAACGAATAACGCAAAAAAATTGTTTCCCATTTTCATCTAATAAAAATGTTCAGTCAATTGCACGTATATTATGCAAATGTTCGAGCGATAATTGTTATCACCTTGTATGATTCACGAAATGATGTAGTTTTAAATGATGAATTAAAAGATTAAAATGAAATGATTTAATGTCCTTCTCTCAACCGCTTAAATGTAATCAACGTGTAAAGCATCACTAATAACATAAGAGTAATTGATAAAATTGTTGTTCATAAAGTCACACTCGATAACGATAAACAAGAAGAACAATTGAATTTAATATCTCTATTGAGGTCGAAATGACATTAACTCATTGATGCATATCCTGCAACATATTATGTCATACATAAATGAAATAACAAAAGGGAGATTTTCTTTACAGGAAAGTACAATTGTTTTGAGGATACATAAATAAAACAAATACAATATTATTGCGTCCTTACAATACTTTTATTAAATTAAACATAATAGATGTACTAGAAGTAATTCTTCAGTGCAACACAAGTACGAAATGTACATATAGAAACAACATTTAATGATCTGAATTACACTCATATTATCTAACGCCTACATCCTCTCATACATCTGTGACTCCTCTAGGGTCTCTCGCAATACTGCTCCATTCCCTTGCTCTTCCACTGAATCTTCCACAAACTATTGGACTCGTTCTCAGTGATATACAACTCTGTTGAGTTAGGCCTGAACTGAATATTTGTGACGTACACAAAGGGGGTCTTTACTACACGCACCGGTGCACCTCCACCAGGCCCGAAGACATACAGATGGCCAGAGTTATAGTCTGCAACAATAAGGTCTCCATCTTCATCAAAATCCATACCTGCTGGAATACTGTTGGCTATAATCAGAAAATAACGAATGTTTAAAAGAGAGAAACATATTTGTGTTTATTTTCTGAAAATACAGGGTTTGCATGGCACACGTGTCACTGTTGATGTTTCACCATTTAAATATATATTTTTTGAGAATTTCAACAAATCAATGGGTCAAAATCTGGCAGTTGATATAAAATATCAAAGTTCAGAAAAAATAACCCAAATGTCAGTTCAAACTGACAGAGCCTCTTAAATAAAAAAAACATGAGTAAATAGTATGTCTTCGGGCTCTATTACACTATACGCATTCCTTTTATATATACCTGGAAGATTTCCCCAAACTCTCTTTTTTTCTATCTGACAATGGCCAACGATATCGAAGCTCCAGAGAGTGGCGTTTCTGGCGACTCCAAATATCAGTTTCATTGGAGTGCCATCTTTATTATGTTGTACTGCTATACCATTAGGGAATACATAACCAGTGGAAACCTTTATAAGTTCACCAGTTCTGTTGTAGCAGTACACACTTCCAAATGGTTCCTTGAAATAGCAACAGTTGTAGGTATATAGCAAAGTAACTACATGAACACAGATCACTATAGGAGCAATCCCTGTATAAAAGTTTTTTTACTCATATCTAATTGTACATGTAGGGTAGGGGACTGATCAGAATGGCAAACTTGAAATAACGAAATTGATCAATTACACTGAGTCTAGGCCAAGGCAAAATAACTGTTCATCTGTTGTAAAATATAAAAGGGCTATACTCACAGGCTGGTATCGAAAGATTTGTCCGCTGTGACGGAGCATGCTATTTTTCATAAAAATACTAACAATGCTCCACGATTTATTTTTTAACTCATATGTTTCGTTATATCAAAGATAATTACTAACTCCATGCAATGAATATATCATTTGCGGGTAACCTTCACTTCTGTTTGAAGTCCAATAACGCTAGGAGTAAAAGCTATTGAAAACGGTGCCAGAGTATCAAACTCTTAAATGTACCTTTTCTTTTATAACTTTTTAATGGCATGATATAGGGACACGATAATATTAACACATGTTTTCAGCATAACTCTGAATGTATTAATGAGATATTAATGCATTGGGTCTTTTTATTAATTTTTTTTTATTAATTTTTTTTTGTCCGCTGTGACGGAGCATTTTCAGAGTTCACATTTGCAACTGCTCCGTCACAGCGGACAAAAGAATTAACGATTATTTTTTACAAAAGAATTAAAAAGACCAAATTCATCAACATCTCATGTAT